ATTATGGATTAGCAGAATAGAAAGCATATAAGAGCAGAGAAAAAGAAAACGCAAAGTATGAGACAAACATTGTGAGTTTGGGAAGCCCAAATTCAACTTCTAGTTCTTACTTCGATGTGAGCTTGGTTATGTCAAGAAGGGTTAGATACAGAAAAAAAGTGTTTGAGACTATGAACTAATTTTAGTTTCCTGATCCCTACATGGAGCTAGCATCACTGGCAGGTATTAAGGACTCATTAGGCTTCACAACCACCAGCATGCTGAGAGAGGAGCTGCCTGATCAGCAAATAGGAAATGCTAGTGACAAAGGTGTGTCTGAAATCCTGCCCCTCTCCACAGCTTGCAGATGTTGTCCTGGAATTACACAGTTATGTCCTTTATTCCTTTAAAAGAATAACAGGCATCACTCTTTTCCTTTAAAGCATAACAAAAGGATAAGTTGGTAAAGTTAAGCCCCTTTTTAATACAGTTTTATGACAATGGGAAAAATCACTCTTCGTTCAGGAGACCCAGACTCCACTGCCTGCAAGCCTCAAATCCACCTCTTGCCACCATGCAGGTTGATGATGAAGCTATTCCCACTAGAAGATGCAGAGAAACAGCATGCGGGAAAGGAAACACCGACAACTCATAACCCGGCGGGTACACAGGCCAGTGGGAGCCTGACCTGAAAGCTGATAATTGTTAAATAAGGAAAATAGCTCTTGGTTTTGAACCCAATTCTAGTAAGTGGGCTGTAAAGTCACATTTCCTCCTTCGCTCTCTCTCCAGGCCATGAATATTTAATTCTTTTATGCAAACTGGAAGAGTTGCAATGCAAGGTTAAATTAGCCTAAATAACCTTGAAATCCTTTTGTGAAGTTGGGCCTCTGAGTCAACTCTCAATCTGCAGAGACGTAACTTTCTTATACAATGAGTTCTGTTGTTAGCCGTATTTAAAATAGTGTGTGGTAACATGACAAAAATCTTGAGGTTAGAGTTGATTTGACAAAATTTATACCTTTGGTTCACCTTTCTGTGTTAAAAACCATGGTTTATACAATACAATTATTTAATAAACGTTTGCCCCTCATTTTTGAATTCAAAATTCTTCCTGGGAAAAGGAATCAGCTACAGTATTCTCGAAACTTTATTTCATAACACAACACATACATATGCTGGCATGTTTTGGTGCTTCCCTATTTCTTTAACTGCAAACTTAATTAATACCACTTTTTCTTTTGCTTTATTTTGCAGTAGGCCAAGTTCCCTACAGACTAGGTACAGGTATACACCAAGTCAGTGCCTCATTCACATGTCATAAAGCCTTCTCAGGCCCAGAAGCCTGAGAGCTACTAAGTTTCACTTTAATTCTCAAAGTGTTTTATGAACTTCCTTCAACTCATAACCCTACAAATCATTCACGTGGTCGGAGTCAGTGCAGAGAAGCTGTGTCTCAGTGGTCAGCCTATGCAAAAACAGTTTCATGATCTCCCTCCAGAATAAAAATTAAAAAAAAATAATAAATAAAAATATTATTCTTCACCCTGCCAGCTAATCTTTGAAATCTGGAAACCTTAGATGCTTGCATTTTAAGAGGTAGAAATAAGAAAGAATGTTTGAAAATCCTTATTAGTAAAATCTTTACTAGGATAATGTGTATGCTTATTGTTATAAATGCTGTTTTAGCACTCGAATGATTTACTTACTCAGAAAAATAAATTAAATATCCAACACAACTATTACACTGGAACTTGGCAATGAAATAATAAAGTGATTTTTCAAATGCCTAAGAACTTACACATACACTTAGAAGATGGTAAAATGGCACAAGTGATTCTGAATGTCGTAGCATAACTGTCTTATCACATCTTTCTTACAGGCCAGTGACCACTGACTCTGGTCCCAAAATCTGATTTTTTCCAAATTTTAGCAACACCAGGAATTCCACAATAAATAGACATTTGATTCAGCCTCAATATGTAATCAGCTTCTCCCAATCTTACTAGCCCATGCCACCTTGCTTTAGGTTTCTTTTGCTGTTTGTAGCTTACAAGTAGGTAAGTGCAGAATTAGATCATCTCCTAAGGTCCCTGGCAAGTTCTGCTTTCTGTGATCGTAAACCAAGTTTACAAATTCAGTCTTCCATTTCCAAGATCATCAAATAAATTACTCAGATCTAACTGATCTAGTATTTACAACAAGGCCTATTCTATGGCATACTTCTCAGAAAATCCGATGGAACCAAGCTACTGCAAACAGTATTAAGAAAGTTTCAGAACATTTCTCTGCTCAAACAATTGTTAAACTGGAAAACAAACAAACAACAAAAATTGAACATCGCAAATCGGTCTTTTTTTTTTCCCCCGCTCGCTGTTACAAAATTACGAATAATCTATAGCTTTCATCCATCATCTGCTTACAACTTCTAGTAGCACTGTTACTCTTGAACTGGGCTGTTAATGAGCTTTTGCTAATCACAGGTGAAAGGTCACTCTCATTTCACAGTACACTTACAAATAAATAAAACACATTGGCATGACAGAGAAAGAGATCAGTATTCAAATACTGACAGAGATTATATTAAGAATCAAAATCTTTTAGCTGAAGAGAAGATATTACCAGTGCTGGTCACACAGCTTCCTTAGCACTATTTATAGTCTAGGGGAAAAAAAATCCAACTAGAAACACAGTAAAGACAATAAGTAACCTATGCCCTACCTTGTAGTTTTGAGATTATATATTAATTTAATAATAATGCTAATAACACCACTCACTGACAGGCCACAGGTCCCAAATCCAAAGCGACAGGATTGAAGTTTTCTTCCTCTTTCCCATGCACGTCCTCTCATAACTAGTTACGAGCAGGAAAACTTCTCTGTGCACTTTTTCAAAAAGAAATCGCACTCACCTTCTCGGCAAAGTCGCATTGCTTCTCGGTTCCTTCCGTATTCCTTGAAACTTTCTTCTAATGCTGTTCCTAAAACCAAAAAGCCACAAGATCTCAAATCCACGTAGAAGTCAAAGAGGAGCGCTGACCGCCCACCACTGACCTGTAGCCCATTCCCCTACGGGACCAAACCAGTACACCAGGGATACACGCTCCTTTCGCTGCAGCAGTAAACACAGCTTCCGAGAGACCGAGATCTGCCG